GACGGGGTTTCACCATGTTGACCAGGATGGTCTCGATCTCTTGACCTCGTGATCCACCCGCCTCGGCCTCCCAAAGTGCTGGGATTACAGGCTTGAGCCACCGCGCCCGGCCAACGGACTGAATTTAGATAGGCAAAGTGAAATAAGTTTTCACAGGGAAAAATGAATTTAGAATGACCAGAGTGGTAAAATGATACTGGACACAGTAGAAGTTTCAAAGGCAGATTTAAATTAGCCTATGGTAGGTTTCAAATATCAGGTCAACAAATTAGGACAAAGCCAGTCATTGACGACTACTAAATTTCTGTCTTTCCAGCTTCCATTTATGCCATCAGAGAAATGAAGTATAATGATTAACACATGGGCTCCAGAATTTAGAATAACCTGGTTGGATACTTGGCTCTACCACTTACTGGCTATGTGTCTTAGTCTGCTTGCCCTGCTACTGCAACAAAATACCATAAACTAGACAACTTATAAACAACACAGAAATTTATTTGTCACATTTCTGGAAGGTGGAAGATTAAGGTGCTGGAAGATCTGGTCTGGTGGGAGCCCGCTGTCTAGTGACAGGCAGCGGTCTTCTCTCTGTGTCCTCACAAGGTGAATTGAGGAAGGGGTCTCCCTGGAGTCTTTTTTATAAGGGCACTAATCCCATTCAAGAGAGCTGAACCCTCATAACCTAATCACCATTCAAAGGCCCCATCTCTTAATATCATCACATTTGGGTATTTCAACATGTGAATTCTGGGGGGACACAAACATTCAGTCTATAGCAGTGACCACAAGCAAATTATATAAGTTGTTTTACTCCTTGGTTTTCTCATCTGTATTAGTCCATTTTCACATTGCTATAAAGAAAAACCCTGAAACCAAGTAATTTATAAAGGAAAGAGTTTTAATTGGCTCATAGTCCCACATGGCTGGGGAGGCCTTAGGAAACTTATAATCACGGTGGAAAGGGAAGGGAAAGCAAGGATCTTCTTCACATGGCAGCAGGATAGAGAAGCGAAAGCACGGGAAATGCCAGACGCTTATGAAACCATCAGATCTCGTGAGAACTCACGCACAATTACGAGAACAGCATGGGGGAACCACCCCCATGATCCAATCACTTCCCTCCCTGGACACGAGGGGATTACAATTTGACATGGGATTTGAGCAGGGACACAGAGCCAAACCATATCATCATCCACAAAATGAGAAAACAGTAACAGTGAAGTACCTGACTTTGGAAAGCATTTGATTGATGTTGGCTGTTATTATCAATATTAATAAAAAATAATGTACAGAGGGCCAAGATTATTTGATGAAAACTAAAGAGAAGATGGAATT